CGGACTTCTTGTCGTCGAAAGGTTTGAACAGGATCACTCCATTGTCCTGGGCTTCGTACTTGGCAATCACGTCGGCATTGCTGCTCACACCGAAGACAAACGAGTCCAGAGCGTTGGCGGCCTTGGTGAAGGTCTTGGCCTCCTCCGACTCGGCATCCTTGAAGAATCCAATGATGGCGATCTCGTTGTCCTTCAAGAACTGCTCGGCGTCAGCCACGCTGGTCAGGTCCTTGGCCGGTGGGCCGGTCTTCTTGGTCACCCAGGCGATGATGTCGGCCGCCTGGCGGCCACCGCTGTACTCCACGGGAGCACCGCTGCGGAAGAACTTCAGAGTGGGGTAGCCGCGCACGGCATACTGCTCGGCCAGTTCACCCTCGACGGTGGCATCGACCTTGGCCAGCTTGATGGGCGACTCCTTCTCGGCCAGCTGCTGGGCAGCCTTGGCGTACTCGGGAGCCAGAGCCTTGCAATGTCCGCACCATGGGGCGTCTGTAACGATCGAGAAGGAAACAAAGGTCAGCGAGTGGAAAGCAGTGTTTTTCAATCTTATAAACTGGTTTACTATAATTTTTTTTTTCTACGCTTGAGTCCGAGTGTTTCAAGCTTTAATTGCTCCCACGATTGAAGGCATTTTGCCGAGTTCATCATGGCACTAAGTATTTATAGACGCTATCTATAATTTGTGTTTAATCGTTCCTATTTAGTTATAGAGAATCTCACAACTATTTTCATCAAATTTTGGTTAATATTTATAACACTTTAGCTAGTATATAAATGTTCATGGTTGACTGTTTTAGTTTGTTAAAAATATGCATAGTTGTAGTTCAGAAAGGATAATTTTCTCAATCAGACAGGTTCTATAAAAATTGAACTCCAATTTTATTTTACTTATGGCTAAAAATTAATATCATTTAATTCAAACTATTTATCTTGTTTACATTGGAAAATACTTTCAATTAGTTTCGCATTTTCATGAAGTAAAATATTACAGTTTTTTAATTAATTAAATTATTTGAGCTATTTTGGAAGACAAAAGCAAAAAAAAAGTAAAATTAAATTATCTGGACAAACTAAATTAACTTTCAACCATAAAAAAATATTATATTGCCAACGTTTTTTTTTATTATTAATTGTGGCTAATGGCCCATTTGGATAACATTTATTAGATTTGAAATGGTTATTATGGCTATTCCGGAACATATTGCTTATCTACAGTTATGTTTACATTAATTTATTTCATTCCTCAATCAATGATTGAGAAAAGTTTATCTAAATTTCAATTAAAATGTAAGATCAAAAAATCTTGGAAAGCCCTTTTTATATATATTTTCTTTAACCCTTTTGTTTACACGAACTACTTTGAATCGTAATTAAATGGCGCGCACTAACGGCCCCCGTCAGTCAAGTGTAAAATTCTAAATTTGGAGCGACAATTATATGCGCTAAATTTGCCACGGATCTGGAGCAGGGCCCCTAGAGCCCACAATTATAACTTCCAGCAGATGTTGGCATTATGCAAATTCCACGTGTTGGATTCTCATTGGGGGAATGTGCCTTGGAGCCACGGATGCAATTTGGTGCGCATCCACGCACACAAAACAAAAACTGGGGGTCTCTCAGATGACATAATGCCCGGCTTGACGACGTCCACGACTTCGATTAAATCTTATATATACATTTGTCTTATCGCCCGGCTTCTAGCACTCGATTTAGCTATAGCTGCGGCTGACGTGGCCCCGGCATTGGTTCCGCTTCCAAAAACATCATTGTAGTCCCGAGATAAGAGCTTGGATGAGCAGACAAATATCGACTTGGCTGACGTTGTCACCTTAACAAAACCACACTTAGACACCGACAAAAACTGCGAAACTTAATTAAACAAATAAGGAGAAACGCTGGCATAAACAAAACACACAATCCGCCATATTGCTGGCCTGTCTGAGATGACAAACTAGCATATCTGTCGGTTTAAGACCAAATCGGGGGGACTTTTTTGTATCTATAAATAAGGTTTATCTTTCAAGTGATTTTCACACTTGCTAGATAAGGATAAGTTTTTAATTTGTTTATTAGAATAACATTATTCTTTAATGAAGATTTTGGCAAACAGTGAAACAACCCTAGAGCGATTTTTCTATTTTTAATTTAACAAATGATTTTTCATTAATCGAATTTTTATGCTTTAACAAAAACTAAAAAAAATTGCCAAGACTAAGAAAAAAAAACATATATAAGTAAAATGGTTATAAATGATTGAGAAAAAACGAATTTTGTGTGAAAATGCAAGCACATAACTACATACGATCAAAAAATACATTTTTAGTTTGCCCCTCTTGCTGAATATTTAAGCAATAAGTGATTTTTCACCATGTTTTTCGATTAATAAAACCTTTTTAATTATAATTTCAACATTAAGAAGTATTTTTAAGGTTTTACTATAAATGTTTCTACCTTAGTATTGAGCTCAAATTTGTAGCTATTTTCCAGCTAAATAGTAATCTGTTGGACGAGCTAAGCATCACTGGCTGATAAACACCGTTAGGCACGCGCAGTGAAAGAGTTGAATGAACTTAACATTGCGTAGAAGCCGCGCCGCCGTGGAAAAGGGACCGAAACCAGATTTTGTCAGAACTAGAACCAAATCCGAGATGGAATAAAAATCGGAATAGAAAGCAAATAGCGAAAAAAAATGGGTTCGTTTTGGTTTGGCTAACCTAGATTCGTGGGTGAAAGAAAGAAGAGTTGCCAGACGACTTTTTGTTGCCTTTTGTTTCCATCAGAAGAGATGTTCTCATTTAAGATTGTTAAAGCGGATGTGTGGCCACGCCCAGGGTTAGAACAATATTTAGAAACGCCGATAAAAGTGAAGCATACGGAGAAACTAATGCTTGTTGCGCACAAGTTTGTGTTTCCTTTGGCATTTAGCATTTTGGATTTAAGAATTATAGCAGGTTTTTATGGCAGCAACAATAACACAAAGTGCCGCAGTGTACTCCCCTCTCGCTTGTTCGCACAGGTGAGGAAAAGAGACAACACTTTTCTATGAGAGAGCGCTCTCTTCCCCTCTCACATACTCTCTTTCCCACAATGTAGTGAGAGATAAAAACGGTTAAACAAACGATAAATTGCAGAAAAATCAACTAAACCAATTTACCAGCCCCTAGCCTGGAAATATTATTACAATTGGATGGCAAAATACTAGGTATTTGCATTGCATTTCGATTTTCAGATTCCCAGTTAACAACAACTGCCACGCAGACAGATTTTCTCCGACGCCTGGAAAGACCACGTAGCCGCTAAGCCGCATGAATCAGCAAGTGCGAGCGAGAGGGCGCTAGCGGCCGGTGCTCCCACTGGCATTTCGCATTTCGCTTTTCGATTTTCGCCACATTTGTTAGGATTTTGCAGTTTCTTTTTTGTACTTACAGAACTCGACCAGCACGAACTCGTTGTCGGCAATCAGTTGCTTGAAATTGTCCACAGTCGCCACCAAAACGCCCTCCTCAACTTTGACCTCCGCCTCGGCGGAAGCGGCCACGTAGGACGCCGCCAGGAAAAGTGCACAGATCAGGAATTTCATCGCGTCGTTTAACGAACTTTATTATTTGCCCTGAGTGGGTGCAGCACACTCGCCAACCAAAAACTGGGATTCGAACTGCGCTGAACTTGCCCGGTTGCAAGTAAAAATTCAAATGAATTTCGTCTGGTTTAAATCGGTGATATATATATTATATATACTAGAGCTGGGTCTCACTTCGATTCTGCTATCGATACATCGATAATTGTAAAATATCGGTCTTATGTTGTTTGGCACGGATAATTGGTGTAACATTGAAAATGGTCACTCCGACAAATATTACCCAGTTCATTTATATTTCTATTTCATGTTCACCCTCTGTTAAAATTTTTAATTTCTGCTTAAAATCAAGAAAATTGTACATATGTAGATGTATATAATGGTCGAACGCGAACAGTAAAGTATTTATTTTTTAATAATTTGATCATTTTGTGTTGAACAATTTTTATTTTATTTCAAACATTTTGATGTTTTCCTTAAAAAAAAAACATTTGCAATTCTGTCTTTGCTGAAAGAATGATTAGAAAAATACTTTTGGGATTAAGTATTCGCTAAATGCGGAGTAAGTATTCGCTATTTGCGGATTTAGTTTGTTATTTTTTCAAATATTTGCTGCAGAACAATCTATTTTTTTATTTAAACCTTACGAGCGGGGCAAATTAAGATTACCAAAATGATTTCGCATACATTATTAATTTACTGTGGAGGATTACATGGATTACTTTGCTCGGGCTTCGGGCCGGATTACAATTCAACATATACTTAAGAAGAAAGACTGCCCAATGAGCACTTTGAACTATACCTAAAATTATTATTGGTATTTTTTGAGTTCCCAGCCCAAATGCTCCAAGAAGGCGACCGCGAAACCCAAGTATTATTTACAACTTTGTTGACCAATACAGTTAATTTTAATCTAAATTTTTTCACCTTCTTTTTTTTGTAAACATCATTTATATACAATATTTTTAAAATTTAAGTTTCAACAAGCCGCTTGTTCAACCAAAGCACCTTTGGCACCTATAATGACAATAAAATTACTTAGACAAAACGATTGGTGTTAATATCCATAAAACATTTAGTTATGCCCTTAGATATGCTACTTATATGTAAGTCAGTAGTTTGGAACAGTTTATATTGACATGGGTCCTCTTATCTTATCTTAGTTGTTCTTAAAAAACAAATGCTTATACCATTATTAGTAAGTCATAATTAACAAAAACTTCATAGACTTGACCAATTTGGAAGATATAATTTTGTTGAAACCACAATATTTTTAATGTCTTCATTTACAACACCCAGTTTATGCCATTCACCTTTGATCAGAGAATAATATGGCGAGCTGTTTAAACAAAACATTATTGTTTATGCAGTTGCATTTTCCTGCTTCCTTTAATAAAACAGGAGATATATAGATGAACGTATGTAAAATATTAATAAAAATCCATTTATTAAACAACATTTAATTTAAGTTTTAACAGTAAATAAAGACAGTGGAAGAATACAATAAAATGCATACTTAAATGCGGAATTCAAGAGTCGCAGGCGGCCACCTGTTGAACGCATTGTTCGACTATGGCAAATACTATCTCAGCGGTTTTCTCACTGCTAAATGGTGTGTTTATGGGCGGCACATGAACGAATAGACTTCGCCTTTTGTCCATATCGAGGGATTTCAGATAGATATAGCCGCAGAGAAAGTTGCCAACGTTTTTGGATGCCTTCGTAGCGCCCAGGGGCTTGAGATTATCTTTATGGGGTGCCTTAATGGGGGCTACACACTGGTCGCATCTCTCATTTACAGCCGCCACAATCTTATCGACATCGAGTTCGGTTCGCAAGACATTTGCATGCCCATTGTTCGGCAGTTCGCTACTTCCGTTGGGCAGTTTTTGTCCGGAATTATCCCCTCTGATGAACTTGTGATTATATGCCAGCTTCTCTACGTAGACACACTGTGCAATGGCCGAAACGCCGACATGTATGACCAGCTGGGGGTGAAATGATATCATCATTGGATCGTCTATTTACGGTTCCATTAAGAGAGCACAGTTCTTACATCTGGCTGGCGTTTCCATATCTCCTCCACGGCCTCGTCCACAGCAGCGTATTCCACTGAAACCAAGCGCTTCTCAAGATCGTATTCTACGCCATTGTGGGTGAGGATTTCCGGGAGAAGTTTCACAGCCTCCCAGCTTGCGTTTACGGTTTCGTGGCCAACGAATGGTCCGAATCCGGAGACCACAATTAGCTTTCGATCCGACGACGCCATAACAAACACTTCAACTAAATGTACACCCCCACAAACTATCTTAGATACAACATATGTTTAGCTTCTTCTTTTTCTGCTATTTAAATGAGTGTTTCCACTAGTCTACATTTTTGGTATTTTAAAAATTTGAAGCTGTGATAACAGTAGTTATTATTGCAGTTTACTCATTTATTATTTAAATTGATAACAGTTTCATATTCTAGCCAATATGTAATTTTTCTTTTAAATATTTTGATTTATTTGAAAAAAGATTTAACGAATTTTAATTAAAGGCATTCCCCTTGTGTAAGGTTGTTCATGTTGTAGCTAAAATGTTAATTTTTTTCAGTATTTGTTAAGAATGTTTTTTTTTTTATGATTTGATATTGTAGATAGAACTATCATAAAAAGAATATATAAATAGTTTTTACTTTTTTAAATGTTTTTCTTTTAAATAAGTCCTCTGTAAGACATAGAACTAAAATACTTTTACTCCAAAACATTTTTAACGTTTTGATGTTTATTTTAGAGTTGATAATATCAACTTTAAGTTTGAATTAGTTATAGTTTTATTTATTGGTTAGAAGCTATACGTGTTTTTTAAAAGTACTTGTTACTTGACACTACTGACTTGAACACGAACCAGGACTATAATGTAGAACAAACTGGATAAAATACAGCTAATATTTACATTTTAAAATGAAATCTACGAAAAAATCAAATTAAAAAACATCAGCTCATATAAATTTAATAGATCTGCAATATTGGTTTAATTAAAAAACAATAAATATTTGAATACCTCAGTAGTTAGTTTTGCTTAGTTTCCCGAAGAACATACATAGGTATTTAGTACTAAAAACCTGCATTTCGGTAAAAGTATCTAGGCAGCGAGTAAAAACTGGGACACTCAAGGGTTAATGATAAGCGTGCAAGTAAGCAGCTACAAGATGGTGTGTATTTTTTGGTATTCGGTATTTTTCCACCCACAACTTTTGGGATTTTTGCCGAATTAGGTGAAACGACGCAGTATGCGGCTCCAAACAGAGCAATAACACTGTGAGCGACAACAAAGATACAAATCCATTCCGTACATTCCAGAGATCCGTGCAAATGCCACAGCAGACGAACGAGCCGCAGCAAGCGAATCGATAAAGCAGCGAACCAGATCCGAGCACAGGGAATCTCTAGGTGAGCATTGCGCCTGGTGGTAATCTAATCGCAGCGGATAAGTTGAGGGCGCTCCACTGCGGGCAGCGACGCCGGCAGAGCGCCACCCTACGCACACTGGTGAACTTTGCACATTAACAATTCATTAACCTCGAACAGGTCGCCGGTGGAGCGGGAAAAGTGGTGAAAAGCGGTAACAGTTGGCCCATTTCACACAGGAGACCATCCCCATCCCGTGGAAGATATAGTCTTTTCCAATCGTTAACATGCTGTCGCGACTGCAGGACTTCTTGTCACGCCACCGGCGGAAATTCATAGTGACCGGCGTTTTGGTGGGCGGCACCATCTTTGCGGCGCGGTACGCCCAGCGGCGCTTTGTGGAGTTCCAGGAAAAGCAGGCCAGGGAGTTCTTCGAACGGACACGCCGCATGACCCACTTTGAGTCGACGGAGAAGACCTGCAACCAGGTGATCCTCGGCATGGGCGAGGAAATGTGCCAGGCCGTGTTGCGTGAATGCAGCACGGATGAGCTGCTCGAGCAACTGCGCAAGAATCCCAAGAACAAGCTGGAACTGTGGGAGGAAATGAAGATTGTGGCCTTTACCAGGCTGGCCACCTATGTCTACGCCTCATCCATGCTGGTCATTGCTCTGCGAGTGCAGCTAAACCTCCTCGGTGGCTATATCTACAGGGACATCATGACGGAGCAGAAACAAGTCACTGACGAACTGAAGCAGCAGTATCTCTCACTCATCCGGCACTTCATCACGGAGTCCGGTATACGGGATTTGGCTCGCTATATACGCAGCCAGGTGATTGCCGTCATCAAGACCATGCCGTTGTCCCAGCAGCTTTCGCTCAACGACTTGGAGCAGCTCTTCTGGTCCCTGCAAATGGCCATCAATGCGGACACTCGCCGGGATCCCAACTCCCGGATGAGCAAGTACCTGCTGCCCAGTCAGAATCCCAGTCACTCGCCGCTGCTGCAGAAAATGTTCAACGAGACGCTGGATCTGCTGGAGAGCGAGGATGCCATTGGAGTGTGCTCGCACAATGTGAGCCGGGGTTTTGTCCTGGCCTGCGATGCCATTGCCGAATCAATGGGCGAAACACTTCAGCATATGCCTCAAGCTGAAGTGCAAACCCAACAGGATAACCTGAAGTTCAACCAGGCCGGAGGCTCCAGAAGCAGCAGTTCAAAGAGCCAAAATGTGGAGAACAACAACTTGCTGAACATCAACCGAGTGCTGATGGCGCTGGCCAAGCTCATTCCAATCATCAGTGGCCTCACCTCAAGGGGTTTCGACAGCACGGCGAGACCCCATAATCTGCCCACCCAGCTGCTCACCTTTTACGTGGTCGCCGAGAAGACGAAGACGCTGGGAGCCAACGTTTACGAAAGCTTCAGCTCCGCTTAGGAAATCGACAAAACTTGGATTATGCATCACTGCATAGGCTAGGATAAGATAATTGGAACAACATAGTTTATATGCCTGTATATTTTTAATACGATCATAATTCTCAGAAGCGTTGTTTCTATGTCTGCTTGAGTCCAACCCGTATTAAGTCTAGCACCTAAGAATATTTAATCGAAAGCGAGTGTAAGGTATGCTTAAGTCGATGCCCCACTTGAGTCCAAGGGGAATCCTTCAAGACAGGGACACACAAATCGAGCAACGTGAAGGCCTTTTAAAATAAATAACTGGAGAGTGTAATATGTGCTTAGGGAATACAAAGAATGAGAAATGGTTTTTATGGAACAGACCTGAGGGTTATCTGGTATTGAAAATAAATGGAAACGTAAATTCTATGTGTAATTGTAACAACTTTTCGGAATATAGGGAGAAACTTTCAGAAATGTATTAAGTAAACAATCCATTCGATTACAGAATTTACGGATCTAAGGAATAAATTATCTTTTTTAATGGATTTTAAAGAAAAAGAAATTTCAATAAATTAACCATTCCTTTTTTAAGGCGATCATGACTTTTTACGAAAGAGCAAGAATGAAAGATTTCTTTTATGAATTCAAATTCATAGGTAAATAGGCAATGCTTTAATACATTATGTAAAAGAACCATTTGTATTGAACGTATAAGGAAACACATTATTTAATTTGTATTTTTATTTTAATAATTTTTCTTAAAAATTTTTATCTCTCAGATTAAAATAATTATAGTGGTCAAGTATATTGACTCCTAATTGTCGATGGACTTAACAAAAAATGTTTTAGAAGTTGATGTCTAGTTTAACCATTTTCGTTTTATTTTAACGGACTTAATATTTCGATAAATTTAAATAAAACAATAAAATATGCGATTTTGGGAAGGTGAGAGACTAATTTGTGTGCAAACGGACTTGGCAAGATCGACTTTGTCTAGTCGAAAATGTCTACTTAGCTTACTGTAATTATAACGTACAAATTCAAACTTTCTGACATAAAAATACATATAGTTATATTCAGGCTATAAAAATATAAATCTTAATTTAAAGAATTTAAATAGGAATTACTTAAGGCATATAGTTTTTATAGCACACTTAGTGGAGACATAAACCACAACAAACGGCTGTCTTCGCTATCAGTGAAAAGGGGGTGGCAAAAAACCGCCCTGTGATAAGACAGCTGTGACTTTTGTTTGTTTGCCATTTCTCTTGTTCTTACCGCTCTCTTCCTCTCTTACACTTGCGCAGAAATGCCGCCAAAGAGGGTCCATATTAATTTTCAAAATATGCCTATTACAATGCTTAATTACATTTAAAGAAACAATTTATTTTGTTTAAATATGTAATTTAATGGAGTTTTATATTAAATACATTACAAAATATCTCCCCTTCTCCTTCTCCGGCTTGGGTTCTCTCCCAGGCTCTCTCTGTCTTTCTCTCTCACTCCTTTGGGTGCCCAGCTGTCTGGTAAAAAGAACACATTTACATTTCCATTTCTCATTTGGGCGCAGTTGCAAAAGTTACGTGAATAGGCTAAGGACATCAGTTACTTTTATACCTCTCTTCGACTTTGTATGTGTGTGTTTGTGGAAAAATAATTTAAATTACTTCGAAAAAATACAAATAATAAACAGAAACTAAGCCAAGTTTCAAACTTAGTGTTTAAATATGACAAAGACTGCGAAAAGTGCACACACTAGCATATCAAGCAAAAAAAGAAGAAAAGTCTAAGGATCTAAGGATAACAAACAAACAAAAAAAAACAACAACAACAACGGCGGCTCAATTGTGTAAGTGCGCTTGTAAATGCTTATTGACCAGTCGAGTAGAGGTCTAAAAGCCCACTTAAACTTTTGACTAACGGGACACAACATGTATTGATTAAGACAAAAAAGAAAATCATAAACATGTACATATGAACACGTGAGTGAAAAAGACAGACATAACGGTATATTGGTAACGGGACAGACAGTGCGTGCGTAAAAGGGGATGGGAACGTGAAAGGGAAAAGGGGGAGGTTGGGGGTGTACTAGAAATGAGAAACTCACTCATATATGGGGTAAAAATATAAACACTTTATTATTAGACGGGCCACAAAATGAACAACTAACTAACAAGTTGCAAAGACACAACCAACAGTTCTATTCAGGCAAGTCCTTCAAATGGGAACCGAACCCTTAAGTATAACAAACAGAATAGTTTCGGAAATCGAAATATGGGATACCCTTTGAAACTTACCAAACCCGATGGGATTGTCATTAATGGCATTAATTTATGCAGAGATTGACTAGACTTTCGTTAAAAATAGGCAATATTATTTGCTGAACTCTTTTAAAAGACTTAATTGACATTGAATTTATAAAAGTTTGATGTTTTTTAAAAGAAAAACATTTAACAATTAACTCTTAAAAGCGTTTTGCAGACCACATCAAAAAAAAGTGTTAAACAAGATTTTTCGCTATATAAATTTATTTAGAACACATATCAACAGTAAAAAGGCATTTCAGCTATGTAGTAAATGTTTGAATACCATCCTAGAAAGAGTATAAACTTGTAGCTCAAAAAGTCAAGTGCGGCAGCGTGAGGACAACAAAGAAATGACATTTTCCTTAGCAAAAGTCGGTGTGGGATATTCAAGAAAAACAATGCATGCAAGTGAGACAACCTCTACACCCAACACCCCCACAAGTTTTTCCTCTGAGCGTTTGAGCCCCTATAGTGTACATATATAGGCATATTGACATACTAAAGGCGTAGATCAAGTGCCTTGACAAGAGGCCACAGGCACCTAACTAAATATAAACACATAAATTAAGGAAGCGAAAGCAAAAGACACGATTCTCGAGGAAAAAGCGGTGCGTCATGGAAAATGCAGGGAAAGCATTTACCGTGGATACAATAGAAAATTTCGTAGCTTTTCGAGGGATTGGCTTATTTGAGGATATAAACATCGGGAACTTTATTAGTAAGGCGTTAAGTTTGGGACAGCTTAAACGCATATATTTAATTCATTTATCAATTTATTTATGAAAAATGAAATAGCACCAACAATACTTGAAAGAATTTAATTTATTTATTTATTTTAATTATTATTTATTTTTCTAAATTGAGGGAGAAAACACAAGTTAAATTAAATTTTGAAGAACTGTCTTAAAGTTATAATAATTCTTCTTAAAATACAGCTTGCCCTGCGGATAATGGGCCCCCTTGTTGTTAGAAAAGCTTTCAAAATGTAGTCAGTTGCGTAAATAATAAAAAAAAATTTAAAACAAATTTTTTAATACCCTTCTGTCAAAAAAAATGTATGTCTTAATTTACATTTGTCTTGATTTTAGTTTTTAAAGTGTTATTAATTTTACCCTCGGCTCACTTTTGATAATAATTAATTTAAGGTTTTTTTTTTGCTCTGTGTATTGTTTTCGTATAAAGTTTTTAGAAAAACGAAACCTTAACAAATAAACGGAAATTAAAACATATAACATATATTGAGTTCTCGAGAATTGAAATTCCTATCAGCACGGGCTATGGACAGTGCAATTCTGAATCATGTCCAATATATTTGTAAATATTTAAGTATATTTACAGGGAATCCAACTGATAAGCAAACTTGACATACTATATGCTTGATTCTACTAATTAGCATGGTATATGTATTAAATATGGGGATAACCAGGAAAAATGGTTAGTTTTGCGGTACAATTTATTGGAGGAACACGCGGTACGGAAAGTGAATTCAATTCAATGTTGCAGCTCTGTCATAGAACTTAGAACCGTGTTGTAATCAACAGAGTGAATTGAATAGTGAATTAATAAGCTCGTAACATGTTCTACTTGGACTTCTGTAAAGGAAAATAGGGAGTGCTTTAGCAAGGAATTTTCCAACCCCATCGGACCATTGATGCCTTTGCATGTGGTTTTGTTTGCTCACGCTACTCACCCGTCCCGTTGCCATTCCCATTCCCATCCCCATTTTCTTTCCGTCGAAGTCCTACTTTTGCAACATGAATGAATGGCTCTAACTACATTTTTCATGCAAGTCGAGGGATCCGCTCTGGTTATCCCCACTCCTTAATGCATTCTCCACTCTTCTGCTGTTTTTCTTGTCAAAAACGTCAAAAATACGATAGTGAAGACCCCAATGAATAACAACGTGGCCTGCAGGCTACACTGAGGTAAAAAACTTAATGATTTAATTTATAATAAAATATAATTTACTTAAGAACAAGTTTATTCAAAAACATTTTTCCTTTTAATTTGAAATTATTTTTATCCTTTTTTTAATTTATTGAAATTATAACTTTAATTTATTGTTTACACAAAAACAAAACCTTAAATTGGTTTTGTAAAGATATACTCGTGCCATATTTTAATTTGAATTATTATTGAAAAACTCTATAGAATTATAATCAAAAGTATTCATAAAAGTAATTCCAATGTTTATTTTCAATAATTTGTTAAAAAAATGTAAGTTTTTAGAAGTAGGTGAACACTTCTGAAACGAGTATTGATGTTTTTGCAAGTGTAGAACAGTTGCGAATTGGAGCGGGCAACTTGAGTGCGGTGCATGCCCCAACCACACACCACCTTATTTGCATGGCTACCAAAGTAGTGCGGAACCGCAGACCTCAGACCCTAAGTGATGGTGCAACCGCCGGCGGAATGATTCACACAGTTGCATTCCCACACAGAGAGTCGCATGGAATAGTGGCATAAATGACATGTGATAGATGGATGGACACTTGGTGAGGGCTTTGGGGGATTAGCCAGGAATGTGCCCCAAATGAAGCTGCACACGCTTTCGCCGTCTCCTGTAATTAGGCTGCCTACGGGGCAGGTCCATAAAAGCCGTTGATAGTAGTCAGTTTTTGCCTAGAGAAGAAAGAATGGCCCAACAGCCGCTTCCCCAAAACCACTTCACTTGGTTCTCTGGTCCCCTTGTTCGTTTTATTACGTATACGCCCCGCTGGTCGATGTGGAACAGCTCTTGAGGCGAGACAAACATCTGCCCCAATATTTGGTCTGGGCAAATATGAATTGTCCGAGTTCCAATATTTTCATTGACTGAACGTAAGAGACTCTTGCCTCTCCCACATGTTGGAAATATATTATATATTTTGCCAGACTTGAACCAATCATTTCATGCCCTGCCGCTCGAATCGGAACTAATGCCATCCGATTCTTTCGTTCAAGCATGACTAATGGGAGAAACCTACAAAATTATGTCGATCATCATTATATTGGTCATAGCTAAGTGCAAAGCGAAGCCAATTCACTAGAAATTGGTTTGTATTATCTCCTGTGATTTTTTTTTTCAAACAAAAATTGCTTGACGTTTAGGAAATGGAAGAAAGTGAAAGAAAGACTTGTGTTCTTGTTTAAAAACCAAATTTATTTAACGCAATTAAAAGAAAAAAATATTTTAAATATAAGTGAGTAATTGCTAAAATAAGTTTAAAGAATAATTATTTATTAAAAAAATTGTGATTTTCTTATCAGTCATTCGAAAAATTTGTGTCATTCCCGAGTAACAGAAAAACATGTTAATGGAACGGAAGTGATTCAGAAACTTTGTGTTAATCACTAAATATATATTTGGGTCTGGAAACATAAATAAAATCATTTTGTAAATTTTTATAAAATAGTTAAACTATTCAAATTTTACCATTTTACTATTATATGAACGTTTCACATCATATAAATATTAGATTAGGCCAGCAGTCAGTAACGTACCGCCCCCAAATAGCTGAAATGAAACATTTTCAAATTCGATCGCAGTTCTCGCAGAGAGTCGAAGCGATCAACACGAAGTCGTAGAGTAGAACTCGGGGAACTGAAATTCAGATTCAAATTCAGCCCGAAAGAGTTAACACGGGTAATTAGTGCTGGAATTTTGGGGCCTTGGCAGTGATGGAGTACGAAAGAGAGTCGATTATTTGGATTTATAATTTACTATCACATCTGTTTATATATCTCGCACAGCACAACAATGACAAACGCCAGCTGAAGAAGACGTAGTCGGTTCTTTGGCCCCCCAAAACCCGTAGTCTAGAGCCCCATCGCTGAGGAGTGGAGTGGAGTGGAGTGGAGTGGAGTGGAGTGGAGTGGAGTGGAGTGGTCACCATGCGGCATCCGAAAATATCCCTCAAGAAGTACTTCTACTTCACACTGATCTGCGCCCTCCTCCTCATATTCGGTTTCAGTATCAAGTGAGTAAGATAACGTGTCGGTATAAATAAATAGTTCCGAACAAATATTGATCTTTGGGTTCTGAAGAGGTGCAAAAGAGAGAACACTATTCCGGTTTTGGAAAATATATTCATACGTTACCGATGTAGTATTTAATTTAAGCAAGTTAATTAGAGTTCCAATGGATGATAAATTTGTTGTATAAAAAAGTTGAGCATTTGCTTACATAAATAAGGTTAAAATAATAAGCTCAGGTTGTAAAAAATCTGCAGAGATTTGATATTAAAGTTTACTATTTGTGTACCAAGCAACGCTGAAACTCAAATTAAGCTAAATCAAAATTAGTGCATAAAAAGTGAATAAGTATTTTAGATTGTAAAACATATTAGGGCTTGCTTGAAATTATAGAAAATATAAGATTAGTCTTAAGTTAGATTTCAACCATTTTAAGCGACAGAAAGGCAGCAGCTTATAACTAGAGATTTGTCATTATCATTTTATTTGTATTGTATATTATTTAATAAAAGATAAGATTGTGACACATTGTCTTTAAAAATCCCGCAGAGAGCACGAGATATGGAAGACGCGGGCTCCCCGTTCGGCACAAATAACCACTCAGCAGCAGCACACTCAGCATCTGCATCAACTGCAGTCCATGGACGAAGAGCATCCACTGGCCACCAGTTCGACACCGGCGCCAGTGGCAGCCACTTTGCTTCCTGATGTGGCTGGCAATTTCGTCGAGGAGCCGGAAAAGGCGCTTCTGGAGGAGGAGGAGGAGACCGAGGCGGATCGGCTGCAAGAGCCGCCGGCGGAAAAAGCCTGGTTCTTCAAGAACGGCGAGTACTATCCCAAGCCGGCCAAAACATACAGCAATCGCAAGGCCAGGAAGCGACATGCCCCACGGTTGCTGCCCCATCAGGATCCCTTCTCCGATCGGATCGTCAACCAGCTGATGTATGTGCCGCACAACTACGAGGAGATCAAGGCCAGCGGCAAACTGAAGACCATCCTCCTCTACAACGGCCTCGGTCCGTGGAACGTGAAGAAGGGCCGCGAAGTCTTCCTAAAAGCAAAGTGTCCCGTGGACACCTGCGAACTGACTGCCAATCGCGATCTGGCCAGCTCGGCCGACATGATCCTCTACAAGGATCACTACATCCCCACGGGCATTCGGCGGCCCAGCAACTCCAAGCAGGTCACCATGCTCTACTATCTGGAGTGCCCGTACCACACGCAGAATGTCAAGGTGCCCGATGCCATCAACTGGACAGCCACCTACAGGTGGGTCACCATTTTAATGCACTCCAACTTTGCTGGTCTGACATAAGCTCTTAACAATTTTACTAATCAAATATTGGTGACAACCATCAGTATGTTTGCAAATTGAAAGAGGTGGATTTAATTGTCATTATGTTATATGTTGTAGATCAAAAAAAAATCATGCTAATCAAGATTATTATGAAAAATAATAATTACTTAGGACTTTGGTTCCAAAAACTTTAAATCACAAGTGTAAAGGTTATCGGAGCTTCATGATTAAAGCTTAGTTTTAATACCCTTGCAGACGGTATTATAATTTCAGTCAACATTTTGCAACGCAGTGATGTAGACATCGGGAGACATAAAGTATATATATTCTTGATAAGCATCACTAGGAGAGACGATTTGTCCGTCCGTCTGTCCGTCCGTTTCTATGCAAATTAGTTTCTTAGTTTAAAATCTATCTGCATGCAACTTTCATAAAAGTTGTGTTTGTTAGGTAGTGTATAAGTCGGAACGAGCCTGATCGGACGATGATATCATATAGCTCGCGTAGGTACAGTAGGAGAAACAATAAAAATAAAATAATAACATTTCGTATTTTAATTTTTTTTTAATGATAGTTTATTTTCTTGGAATTACGGTTTAAATATAGGCAAAGTCGAACGTAAAACAGCTCTCATTGGAACAATCGAAATATAATAATATAAAAATGTTTTAATGGGTACTCATATAATTTGAAATTTATATGTTTTAAAGATGTTTAATTTTTGCAAAAGTTGCAAGGGTTTATAAACTTTGGCTTCCTAAGTTTCCTTCCTTTCTAGTTTTATATATTGTATACATCTTTGATAGAGATGTTTAAAGGCAATCTTTTTTCCAGGAGGGACAGTACTATTGTTGCGCCCTATGAAAAATGGCAGTACTTCGACACAAAAGTGCAGCAGCAGGAGCAGGACATAAACTACTCCGTCAACAAAACCAAGAAGGTGGCTTGGTTTGTGTCCAACTGTGGGGCAAGGAATGGCCGGCTGCAGTACGCCCATGAACTGCAAAAGCACATCGAGGTAAGGATTATCCGTCATTTGATTCTAGTCTAATTAATGATATTTTTTTAATTTATGAGAAATTAAATATTTTAAACAATCCAAATTGTTAAATTAGTGGATGGAACTTTCAACTAAATTAATTTAATTTTTACTTGACAAAACCATGTAAAAAAGGAAATTGAGTCTATACAGAAAATGATCAATCGTATTTAATTAAAGTGATACATACAAAATTAATTTACTACTAAATTTAGTTAAAATCCATTTAACGCTGAAGTAAAACATTCTTTGCATAGATTGGCATTCAGTTCATAAACTTTTAAATTTGCTAAAGAAACTTTAATACGCTTAAAAACAACACTGATAAAAAAAAGGGAAAGGCAAAAAAAAGAAACCTGACTATTGAGTTTAAAATTGTATTTTTAATAATAAAATGACATATAAAATCATAGTATTAAATCGATGCATATTTAGTAACATAATTTAATATTAAAAATTTATATTAATGTAGAAAATATTACATTTAAAATAGCTCATACTTGATTTAAATGAATTTTATTTAATTTAAATAGGGTTTAAATGTAAACTAAATTTTTAGATATTTAAATTAAATCTGAAAATAGTCAAATGCAAACTTACACAATTTTGTAATATTTTCATATTTAAAATAACTAAAAACTGCAATGGATGAATATCGAAGGGAAAATATTCAAATTTAATACAAAAGTGGGAAATTTTTACAAATTTTTATTTTAATTGATATAATTAATATAGTGGTAATTTGTATAAACTCAAATAAATAATCTGCAACAACTGTTCCCATCAGGTTGACATCTACGGGGCATGCGGCAACTTCAAGTGTTCACGGAGCACGGCGGACAAGTGTTTCGAGATCCTCGACAACGACTACAAGTTCTACCTGGCGTTCGAGAACTCCAACTGCAAGGACTACATCACGGAGAAGTTCTTTGTGAACGCACTGAACCGCAGGGTGCTGCCCATTGTGATGGGTGCCCGTCCGGAGGACTACGAGGTGAGTGCCCCGCGACGATCCTACATCCACGTGGACGAGTTCGCCTCGCCCAAGGAGTTGGCTGAGTATCTGCGCATCCTGGACCGCGACGACGAGCTCTACAACTCGTACTTCAAGTGGAAGGGCACCGGGGAGTTCATCAACACGTACTATTGGTGTCGCGTGTGTGCCACCCTCCACAACGAGGAGCAGCTAAGGAAGCCCCGCTGGTACACGGACCTCAACGACTGGTGGCGAGGACCCGGAGTCTGCACCACCAGATCCTGGCGAAACTTTAAGGCGCGCAAGGACATCATCAGCGACTCCAGCGACGACTGAGTCCAGGTGCTCGAGGCGATCCAAATCGTTGCATTGAGCAGAAGTCAGCATCCAGCATTTTAGTGAGTCATTCGCTTCAGAAACGTTGTTTTCTAGGTATCACCATCACCATAACCATCTCTACTTTCACTTTCACTATCCACAGGATGGGTTTGTTTTGCTTGGAGAAGAAAAAAAATAGGTGCAATAAGCAGTCTGTAAAAACTATCCTTTTCCAAAGACTAGGTTTTAAAACTTGAAAAACGTAGAGGGAAGAGCATTGAATAATGGCCAAATATTTATTATCAAAACCTGTAATATTAGTTTTAGTTCTTCCTCTATTATCTGTAATAATAATTTTTATTTCATTATTAAAAATTATTAATTTTATTTCAAGATTGCTGTTCGCAACCAGAATGTTCTCAAAACAAACGACCCATCCTTCGCTATCCATGTGTAAAGATTCGCTTCGTTTTTGCCCGAGTTTTACGTTCTACAAATGTTTTTTGTAGTTAGTTAGTAAGTAAACGAAAAGCTCGGAACTGACAACGTCCGGGTGAATCAAATCAAACCGAGAAGGCACGAGGTGAGGAGCATTCAGACACTAGCCCATAGACTAAAGATCCCCGTGCTGATCGTTGTAACATATACAATACCAGATGCATAAGAGAACCTAGAACCCTAGAAACCTAGCCTAGTTATTTATGGATATACAAATGATATATGTATACATAGTTCGGTAATTTATATAGTTGTTTAAACAAAAAGCAAGTCCAAAATAGACCATAACACGATAGAGAGAGGCAAGCAAGTTACAGTAGTTCGGCATTCTATGGCTTAAATGCAATGAGAAGAGGCGTCAGCTAAATATTGTAGCTTAGTTCTTTTGTAAGTGTTTTTTGTAAGCAATCAGCAGCTGGATGGATCGTCCTGAAATATGTTGCCTGTTATTAGAGCACATCTTTATTTGACAATTCGATTTTCAGTTTTATATCTTAAATAGCCTGGATTTTGGTTGAAATGTTAGCTGTGTAGAGCTACTTGAAAAGGTTTCCCAGCCTGTTGACTAACTAACTTACTCTATAACCGATTCGCACAAGCTAATATATATATATATATATATCTGATCTAATACAAATACAATCTGCATTCCTATTTTTCATAAAATTATCATATGGCGTAAAATAATTTCAATTCGAACAGCGCATATGTGTGTTTTTACAATTTTTAGCAATATTTGTATTTATTGTGTAACATTTAATTTATAAGTATTGAATAATATCATCTGTGTGTGTATTTTGATTGTGAACTTGTTTCAATTTTCATTTTTACTGTGATACAAAAAATAATAATTATAATAAACAAGAATTAAACAGTGGCAACTTATGGCAAACAATTGAAAATCTTTTTTAAGCTTCACTTGCAGTTGTGTTTATTGGGAATGGCACGTTTAACAATTCAAAGAACTAAGGATAAATACAAAAAAAAATCAAAACATATTCAAATACTGAAACATGCGTACAAAGCAACGTATACTTCAAGGGACAGAAGAGCTGCCCTATGACGAACTAAAACTACATTCAATTATCTGAAAAGCCTCAAAAACCAAAATCAGAACCTTAAACATTACACATTTTTAGCTGCCTGAATAAATCTTTTAGTGCATTTAATTTCTCCTTTTTGGAATCTTCTTTTTCTGCGGTGGCAGCTACGATCTTCGCCGTAATCTTGCGCTGCAGAGCAATGGCCTCGACTTTCTTCGAAAGCTGCAAATAAAACCCAATTCTTTGAACTACTTTTCAGCATGAAAGACATTAAACACCCACCTCGTAGGCTCGCTTGATAATTGCTTGCGGCATTCCAGCCAGTTTGGCAGCATTGAAACCATACGATTTTGGACAAGCACCCGCTGTGTATTTGTAAAGGAACGTAACCGTTTCCTGCGTGGGATCCTCGTTGTCCTCGTTCTCCACCATGCAAGCCATGTGACCCAGCGTAATCCTCTTGTCGTTGTGGAAGAAGTCAATCAGATTGTGGTAGTGCGTGGAGAACAACGTGCGACACTTGAGATTGGCCAGGAAGTTGACCACAGAGGCAGCAATCGCTGTGCCATCGTAGGTGGCCGTTCCCCTGCCCAGTTCGTCGAGCAACACCAGCGAATGGCATGTGGCGTGCTTGAGAATGAGCGAGGTTTCGTTCAGCTCCACGAGGAAGGTACTGTGCCCGGCCAGAATATCATCTTGGGCACCCAGACGCGTGAAGATTCTGTCCACCAATGAGAGTCGGCAGCTAGCAGCGGGAATGTGAGCACCCTACAAAGGGATTTAAATATTATATTATATTATATATTATTATATTATATACTTACAATTTGCGCCATGATCACCAGCAGTCCCAGTTCCCTCATCAGTGTGCTCTTGCCGCCCATATTCGGACCTGTGAGCAGGGACAGTGGAGCCTCTGACTTGGTGCCCAGTTCCAGGCCGTTGGGAATGTAAGTGGAGGCATTGACACACGGATGGTAGCCCTCTTCCAGCTCGATGAACGGCTGATCCACTCCAGAGACCAGCTCTGGCACACAGATGACCATCTGGTGAGTCGCATACTCCGCCAGGGAGCCCAGGACATCCAGGTTGGCCACACAGTCGATGCATTGCTTCCACTGGTCATAGTGATTGGAGAACTTCTCGAAGAGGCGACGCGCCAAATCCTTGAGCACCATGTTCCTTGTCTCTTCTGCCTGCTGCATATCCTTGAGAAGAGCTCGGGTCTCAGCCGTGGTGTAGCGACGTGAGGGCTTCTTGCCCTTGGTTTGTCCCTCCAGGGAATAGGATTTATTGGCCTTGCCAGCATGACTTTCAGGGACGTCCAACTGGTAGCGCTTCTTGTCGCTCCCAAAGTAGGTAATGCGGCAGCCAAAGTGTCGCTCCTGCTCCACCAGATAGGTCTTGAGGCGTTTCTCGATCTCGTTGATGGAATCCATTGCCGCATCATACTCTGCATCCATTCCTGGCTGAGGAGCAATGACACCCGTTTTGGCGGCTGCATCATGATCGAAAGCAGTGTCAAAGTATTTCAGCACCTTGCTAAGATCAGGAAATGATCCTCCAGATTCTGGCAATTGGGTAATCCTCTTCAGCAAAACTGATTCACACTGATGCAACATCAGAGGCAGTTTGGTAAGGGCATTAAATCCCTTAAGAACGGCCATGAATCCGAGTAGCTTCTGCTTGTTGTATATCTTCTCCTCGAAGAGAATGGCCCGCGAATCTGGATGATCCATTAGCTTAATCTGCTTGTTGCCAAACAAATGAATCTGCGCCAAATTTCGCTCGAAATCAGGCATGGGTGCTAGCAAAGCACGCATTTCCTGCAGTTCGCTGGGCATTCGGATCAGTTCACCAATGGCTTCCTGTCGCTCCCTGATGACGGCCACATCGCAGCTCGGAGCACATAGCCAGTGGTGCAGCAGTCGCTTGCCAAACTTGGTGCAACAGTGATCCAACGAGGAGAGCAAAGTGTGATCCTCGCCAATAATCCTCAGATTCGACAGGGTAGTGGCATCCAGTACCATGTGGGAACGTCTCAAAGTGGAGACCGCCGATGGTTTGGCTTCCGCCAGCTGATCGGGTGGCACATACAGTTGATAACGTGCCATGGGCAGCACCTTGGGCTCCAGCTTGCATTTCTGGATGAAGAAGATGCACTGGCCAAGTGCTTTTAGCGCCAGCTTGTAATCATCGCTGGGTGTGAGTCCCAAATGATCCGAGTCCGACTGCATGGTGCGCAAAACCAATGGCCAATTGTCATCGGCACCATTTCCTGCATAGTAGCGTTCCGCCAGCAGTTTCAGCGTCTTTTCCGCATTGCAAGCCTGCGATCCATTACTGGGCGTCTGCTCCTTAAGGATTCCACCCAGTACAGTGCGTACAATTTGCTGGGAACGCTGGCTCAAAGCGGATTTCTCGTTTATGAGCTAGGTAATGGAAAGAGATTAGTGGTTTAGCAAGTGATGCAAACACATTACAAGCAAATTACCAGCACGGGCATATGATGTGAAAGCAGGGTGAGCAATCGGGAGCAGCTCTTGTCGTCCTCGAACTCGCCCACATGGAAATCACCAATGGAGGTGTCTATGAAGCACACGCCAACCCGACTCCAAGTGCCCTCGTCCTGCTCGACCAACGCCAGCATATAGTTGGGCTGGTGATTCGGTCCGATCTTGCACTGTGAGCCGAAGACCTGGGTGCCACGATTCGTGATCTGGCAGATCTCACGGGCCACCACTTTATCGAACTTGGTGGCCTTAATTTGCTTGCAACGCTCGGTCATCATGTCGGGTGTTTCCGTTTGCTCCACTCGAGCCACCTGGATGATAAGAGGACATGAGATTTACGGCGCAAAAGGAGACTCCCTCCATAAAACTCACCTTGTAGCCTCTGTCCACGAGAATGGTGGACATTTTGTCGAAGGATATCTCCGGGAAACCCGAATGCGCAAACTCGCCGCGCATGTAGGTGAAGCCCAGCTCATTGACGCCCACGTCCGCATCCATGTGATACAGTTCGTAGAACTTGCCCACCTTGAAGAACAAAACGCAATCGTAGCTGGTCGATTTGAGGACCCACCACTGGCGAACTCCTGGCGACAGGCCATTGAGAAACTTATCCGGCACGTGCAAGGTGCTCTTGTCGTATTCCGGATGATCTGGTCGCCGTCCCGCCTTGTCCTTGATCTTGTCGGGCTGCAGGAAGTCCAACTTCTGGTGCGGCCACACCACTGGCTCGTCCAGAGTGGAAGTGGTGGTCACTATATCATCATAGGATGCATCCTTTTTGGCATTGCTCTGCAGATGCTTTAGTTTCTCCTGGAATGTGGAACCCTCGGCCAGCTGGCTGGAGGTCTCCAACTTGACCTTCTTGCTTGAGGGCTCATTGTTGTTGTTGTTGTTGTTACTAATGACCTTTGACTTCTTGCGGGATTTCTTGGGCGTAGGACTATCTGCGGACATGTCGTTCTCGCTGGACTCCACCTCGTCCTCTCCACTGCTGACGCTGTCGTCGCTGGCTTCATGGGCATCTGGTTCGTATTCCGACGCACAGTCGGAGAAGTCGTCCTCCGACTTGGTCTCCTCCATTTCCGGTTCGCTGTCCGTTTCCGGCTGAACGATGCGCTTCCGCTTGCGTTGGCCGTTTCCGGCCGCTTCATCGTCGGAGCCGCCGGAAATGGGCAACTTCCTCTTGGCCGCCGGCTTGGAATCCTTTGGTTTTGGTTGCTCCACATTTGGCTGCTGATTCTTGAGATTCTCCTTTTCTGTGGTGTCCGTTTCTGTTTTTACGCTAGGTGTCAATTTTTTCTTGTCGACAGCCGGCGATTTGGCGAAATAGTTGAACAACGTGTTCGTCGGCGTTCCGCCCACACTTGTGTTCAACTTTTTGGACATCGTTCTGCTTCCGAAATGATTGCCAAAATGTGCAAAAACTAGGATAAAGACGCTAAGATCAAGCGCCAAAAAGTGGGAGTGCTGCCAGATCCTGGAGCACCAGACAGATGAGCGAAGCTGTGTTGCCAGACTGCCCATGGAGAACAGGTAATTTTCCAAGGCACAGCGGTGTTCATCAGAAGAGTACCACTAGTGTTGAAGAACTAAAAAAATGATAAAAGCCAGTGCATGCAGGCAACAGCGCCTTTTACTTTCATACTGAGAATATGTGCTGGATTGAGACGAAAACAAGTCGTTATAATTGTAAGGATGATTAGCTGTGGAAAATCTTTCCGTTTACCAATGCCAAAATTGAATATAGTTTGGCGTTGCTGTCCATTTAATTGGCGGCAAAATTGCCTTACAAGTTCTCTTTTTCTTCTTTTAAGGTTTCTTCAGCTGTTTTTAGCAACTACGGTTTTAAGCGGCAGGCCGGTTAGGTACAATCGTTATAAAGCTACACAAAACAATGTTTAATTATATTTATTTAACATAGTTTAACATTCATTAATATTATTTTTACTTAGATTTGAGTTTATTTTTAATCCTGAGCCTCTACTATTATTGTGAGCATAGCTGTGTTTTTCCTACGTTTTTAGTATTTTTTGTGTACAGCTTCTGGTATATTTAAGCGGTCAAGTTACGGTCATACTAATCACAGCACGCATAAAAATAAAAAAAAGTTTCACCATTTGTAGTAAATAAACTTGAAAATAACTAATAATGTCGCTGGCAGACGAACTTTTAGCCGACCTCGAGGAGGACAACGACAATGAGCTGGAGGAGGAGGATGCGGAGATGGCCAGTGCCGAGGATGAAAGCGTAGGTCACCATAATTAGGTGATATTTCGCCATCTAAAGATTTCCCTTTCACAGTTGCTGGCGGAGAAGTTGGCCAAGCCGGCTCCCAATCTGATGGACGTGGATGTTACCGTGCAATCGGTGCGGGAATTGTGCAAGCTGCGCGATTCGGAGCGCTTGAGGAATACCCTACAGCAGATTGAGCACTACGCCAGTCGTCAGAGGACCGCAGCCGAGATGCTGGGATCCGTGGAATCCGATCCAGAGTACTGCCTCATTGTGGATGCAAATGCCATTGCCGTGGACATCGACAATGAGATCTCCATTGTGCACAAGTTCACCAAGGAGAAGTACCAGAAAAGATTCCCAGAGCTCGACTCCCTGATCGTGGGCGAAATAGAGTACTTGCTGGCGGTCAAAGAGCTGGGCAATGACTTGGAACAGGTGAAAAACAACGAGAAGCTGCAGTCTATCCTTACACAGGCCACCATTATGATTGTATCCGTCACGGCATCAACCACGCAAGGGTGAGTTGGTATTCCCTAAAACCGTACAAACCATAAAATCTTGAAATAAATCCCTATTCCTTTGTAGCACCATGTTAACGCCTGCAGAAAAGGCCAAGATCGACGAGGCCTGCGAGATGGCCATCGAGCTGAACAACTTCAAGTCCAAAATATACGAATATGTAGAAAGCCGCATGACTTTCATAGCACCCAACCTTTCCATGATTGTCGGAGCTTCTACAGCTGCAAAACTCTTGGGCATCGCAGGCGGTCTCTCAAAGCTCTCCAAAATGCCCGCCTGTAATGTTCAGGTCTTGGGTTCACAGAAGAAAACCCTTTCGGGTTTCTCGCAGACGCAGATGTTGCCACACACTGGCTACGTTTACTATTCACAGATTGTCCAGGATACAGCACCAGATTTGCGTCGCAAGGCGGCCCGTTTGGTGGCCGCCAAATCAGTGTTAGCTGCTCGCGTGGATGCCTGCCATGAGAGTGTCCACGGGGAGATTGGCCTGCGATTCAAGGAGGATGTGGAGAAGAAGCTGGACAAGTTGCAGGAGCCGCCGCCAGTGAAATTTATCAAGCCATTGCCAAAACCCATTGAGGGTAGCAAGAAAAAGCGAGGCGGCAAACGTGTGCGCAAGATGAAGGAGCGATATGCGCTCACAGAGTTCCGCAAGCAGGCGAACCGCATGAATTTCGGAGATGTAAGTGGGAATTTACACATAGAATTGTTTACCATCTTATTTGTAAATATTCCGCTTCGCTTCTAGATCGAAGAAGATGCTTACCAAGGAGATTTGGGTTACTCCCGTGGAACAATCGGCAAAACAGGCACCGGGCGCATCCGTTTGCCGCAGGTGGATGAGAAGACCAAGGTGCGCATCAGTAAGACGCTGCACAAGAACCTGCAAAAGCAGCAAGTGTACGGCGGAAACACCACAGTCAAGCGGCAAATCTCCGGAACAGCATCCAGTGTGGCCTTTACGCCACTGCAGGGCCTGGAGATTGTGAATCCCCAGGCGGCGGAACGTTCGCAGACAGAAGCCAATGCCAAATACTTTTCAAATACCTCGGGATTTCTATCCGTGGGTCAGCGAACTACTTAAATTAGGAGTAAACTATACATTTTCTATAAAATTAAGCACTTTTATTTGGAGATTTGTCGAATGTATAATGAGATAGGCGTAGTTAAGCTGCAATGAAGCTGCACAAGAGACTCAATTTGTTGTTAGCTGAGCTTGCCCACCTCCAGTTTGCGCTGAATGGCCTCCCACGAGTTGTTCAGCAGCACGGCCAGAATGCCGGCCACCGTGAAGACGCCTCCGATGATGGAACAGCAATTCGTGGCGAAGTGGCCAAACGAGCTGGGGGTACAATACATATCCAATAAAAATCGTAATTAAATATAAGCCCACCGTTTTACTGACTTGTGCTTCTCCGCATATTTCACCATCAGCGGTGAGAGTTCGTAGCTGAAGAATATGCCCGGCATTCCACGCTCGCGATCCGAAAGATCCTTGCGGTATCGCGTCACCGAGAACTGATTCGTGTATATGGGCTCGCTGCCTCGCATATATAACGTAGGTACAATTTTTAGATAATAGTTAAACATTTCACTTTTGGTCTCTGCAAAAAATAAAGATCGAAAATTTGGTCTAAAGGATGTTTTTTTAAAAAATGATTTTAAAATTGTTTAGCATTTATATTTTTGCCATTTAACAAGGATTTAGTATAAAAAGCTCTTAAATTGTACCTATGAAGTAAAAATAAAACATTTTTTTGTTTCTCATTTGTAAATAAGAGCTTACTTATATAGATAAGTTTATATAGATAATTTTACATATTGAAACATTTTAAAATGCAATTTAGGGTGATTTTTCTTCAAGAAAAATTAGAACAAAAACTAAATTAAATTTTTAAAAAATATTAAATCGATTGAAAATCCATTAAAAAAAGGTTTTAAAATTTGAGTTCCTCCACATCAGAAAATTTGCAATTTTTTTAATTTTTAAAGTAACCGCTCTTGGCTAGCGCCCTCTATGCAGTATGCGTAGGTACCACCGACAGAAAAACAACATGGCAACCCTTTGCCGCATTTGACAGCTCACGCACACTACATCATTCTCACGTTCACGAACTGCCTGACGAATTGGGCCGAAATAAATCTATTTCCTGAAATAAACGGACCTTTGAGCACTAAGAGGCACATTCAGAAGTGAATCGGAGCAGCGAAGCGTGCTACCTGGCAGGACCCACTTGTAAAACAGGAGAACCGGGAGGAATCAAGCACTTTGCGGCATGCCACTGCCCACGAGCTCATTTTCCCAACAGGGACCCACATGCTTTGATAAGATGAAGACGGGCTTCATCATCGGATTCTGTGTGGGAATGGCCAGCGGAGCGGTCTTCGGCGGTTTCTCGGCACTCAGGTGGGTTGGACTTTGCACCGGGACGGTCTATTTACCACTCCGCCAGCGGAGTGACGCAAGTTGAGACCGGGAATTATGTAATTACACCGGCTATTGACAAACTAATGAAGCATATCGAATCTCCCCCCCCAGATACGGACTACGTGGTCGGGAGCTGATCAACAATGTGGGCAAGACCATGGTCCAGGGCGGCGGAACCTTCGGGACTTTCATGGCCATCGGTACCGGTATTCGCTGCTGATCCTGCTGGCATTTGCCTAGAGTTACTAAAAAACCAAACCTTAAGTCCCACTCCAATCTTGTTTAAATTACGTTAAGTTATTGCAATAGAGATGTTAAAGAGATACGAGTTGGGCTTTGTTCACTACTCACCCGTCACGTCCACACGCAGTCCATCCAGAGGATGCGTCTTGGCAAACTCGATCTTCTCGCCAAAGGACAGGTGATTGATTGTGTGCGACAGCTTCACATTGCTGAACTGGAAGTCGTGGATGTGAAACTGGCGGATGGAGAAGCTCTTGCCGGGCGCAAAGTGAAAGCTGCCGGCCATGCGGTTCACCTCCAGGTGGCCCTGGATGCGACAGCCCTCCTTGAAGGCGTCCTCGTCGGTGCGCTTGTACTTGCCCTTGCACTGCTCTATTTTGTCCACTTGGACGTTCCACTTGCGCAGTCGGTAGGCATCGAGCACCTCCTCGCATGTGTTGCAGCAGCTGCAAGGAAAGGATATTGGTGTAATTTAAATTAATTTAAAGGTTTTTCTGATCTAGAGTCTAATGTGCTGCCACGCATCATATTAATTTACTTTCATAAAAAGAGTTTTCTTGGTATCTAACTATGCTAGCCTGAGGTTCGAAAAATTACAAACAAAACGTTTTTTAAACAACTGCCAGGTTTAGTTCGAAATTAAATCAAACATAAGTATTCATGTTCATACAGAGAATTACAAAAACTATTATTTGTTTTTTGAGGTGAGCTGAAATTTACTTCTAGTCACTTGATCTTTGAATAAGTGATTAAGCTAGTTCAAATAGTTTATAATGCAAGTTATAAAAATTTCTAGTGAACATTGAATAAAGAAAGTGGATAGTTTGAATCTTAAGTCTTAGTAGGCATTAATTACAATCAAAATTCAAAAATAGCTTATAAATATCAACTTAATAGAATCTTTGATTATCTATAAAGAAATTTGAGTTGTAAGTTGGCTTAAGGTTGAAAAATTAATTTAAAATTTACCAATAATCAAACTAGTTCTCCCTGTATGTATGAATACTAAGTATGCATGCTAAATATATTAGTGTATATTGCTGGATTCTAATGGATCTGATAGACTGCGTAATAGATAAAGTTTAAAGTTTAACTAGTGAAAGCCCTACTGCAAAAGTTTTAGTTATTTTGAATGTTTAAAAGTAATGGGATAAAGACCAAATCCTTCGCTTACTGGGTGCCATTGTGCTCCGCTCCGTAGCAACTGCCGCAGGTGACGTTCTTGTTGGGCGGCGAGACGGCCACAATCTCCTTGATGGGCGTCTCCTTGAGGGGCTCCCCCTTGAGATCCAACCGATGCTTGAAGACGTCGTGGTCGACCCTTAAGTGGGTGTCGCCCGACGAGTCCATTGCATCCAGAGAGATGTAGTTGCAGGCCAAATTGTGCATGGTCACATCCAGATTGATTCGCAATTTTTGACCCCGTGTCGTGTCCACAAAAAGTTCCTCATTCAGGTTGGGCCGCATGTAGTTTAGGAATTCCAGGAAGATCAGCAGACTAATAATGCTGGTGCTGATGATTGTAACTGAAAATCGGGGAAAAGCCGGTTGTTTGGTTTCTTATCGCGATAATTTTGATTTACACCTGCACTCACCTGCAGCGCCGCCCACTGTGCGCACGCTGAAATCGTCCAAAGTGCGCGGATAGGCGTCTAAGCGACGCAGCACGTCGGCGAACTTCATCTTGTTCACAAATAACACACGAAACACACGGAATTTAAACGTAAACAAAAAAATTACATTTTTCGCGGAGCAGGTGACGTGTTGCAATTCGCGTTGCCAGACAGTCGCAACGGCCTGGCCAATCATATGTTTATTGTAATTCGGTACTTTCGATTAATGACAATCGTCATCGAAGTAATAATCTACTTCGCAGATAATTTACTTTACTTCTTAGTTTTTACTTTTTAAACAGTTACATTTTTTCGTTTCTTTTAAAGTAGCTTTCTTAAAATTTAAGATAACTTTAATGAACTCATATTAAGTAATTCGCTTGCAACGCTATCATATTAATATTAAAACACATAATCGCCAATGAAAAATACAATTGAAATGTTGTTTACAAAATATGTAGATATTACTTGTGAAACCAAAATGAATCCGTGTATATATACCTAAGTATGTATGTCTTTATTTAAAAGGTTTACATTTTCAAGCAATCCTGTAGGATGTAGAATGTATTATTAACATTTCAGTGAATACAGGGTCCATTAGTTTCCTTTTGCATAGAATTCGTTCTAAAATGCTCCATTATGGCAACTGTAATTATACAAAATATGCTTAGATTTTGTTATTTTTTTTTAGTTGTTTATATTTGTATACATGCAGTTACGATCGCGAAAAAAACAATAAATTGGAATGCTCATCCAAACACCCCTAAATGAAATCGATAATTTTTGCCGCTTTTTAAATGATTACAAGAACGGATTCGGTAACGTTAGCGGATTTTGCATTAGTTTGGTGAAACTACACCAGCTGACTAAGGAACAATGGTGCCTACTTTAGCACAAGTGTGCCTCAATCATCAGGTATAATTACTCCAGACCATTGAAAAAGTTTCCGCGTATGTTTCCAAAACCGTTCTTGAAATCATTTAAGGTTCGGTTAAAACTTTCGATTCCATTTCGTGACTGAGTCAGCATCTCATGTGTATTCATCGCCAGGATCGGTTTATCATGATTTCTTTCTTAGAAATTTTATTTGAAAAAATTTGGAACATCTTAGTCCTTAGTTTTGAAAGTTTATTTATAATGGTGTTTTTTCAATTTTTTATATCGAATCGGTTTTTTCCTTGATTTTATTTAACATCCGACTTCTGGCCTTGAACGCGTGCTGTGTTTCGACGTCAAATGTGAACTAAAGTAATTTCAATTATTGGGAACATATTATCAACTCAGACCTAAAACTCTGGACATGTTTTGGAAGATAGTGTTTTTTTTACACACACACACACCCTATAAAGTGTATATATTCTTGATGATGATTAACAGCCGTGTCGTTCTGGCATGACTAGTTTTATTTAACAACATTTCTGAGATATGGTAGAGCTTACACAAAAAAAAAACTGAAAGTTTATTTTTACTAAATGTGTCTTAAATATAAATATATAAGTATTAAAGTATTAGTATTAATTCAAGTCTAAATAACCCCAATACTTTGTTGTTTAATTTTTTTTTACCGAAGAGTCTTAAAATATAGTCTTAAGCCTTTATTTTAAACCGCATAAATTTTATTTTAATAGTTTCGTTGAAATAATTAATTACTCTTGTTTTTAAAAAATTTGTCATACCCAATAGTTTTAAGTTCATGTAAGAATAGTTTGGTTTTAATAATACATTTATTTTGGGATTAGCGTTCTTTCTTGCTTAAATATGTGAACAATTTTTTAGTCATCTCATCTTCTAATGCTATTCGTATTTTCGTCCTAAACTAAGCATACTGTAAAAGTGAATCATTCGGCTCAATAAGCTTTACATATTTTTAGTTCTGATAAGGGTAGTACATTCCATATAAACTAATTTTTGTTCTTCATAGCAACGGAAATTACAGAAAAATAAAAACTAATAAAAGACCTATCTGCAAAATGATCTGAAAATATTAATTTACAGACAACGTTGTTTGTGCATCAAAAAATAAATATTTTCAGTACAGTTTTTGTAGTAAAAACTAAATTTGCAGACCTTCAATAACTGGACCTTGTAGTATAATAATTTCGAATTCTTTGAAAATGTTGTAAAGTATTAACTATGAACTTTCTTGAACACAATTTTTTTAAACTATATATTTTGTATATTTGCCCACGAGTTTAAAACAAACCTTTCATTCAAGAAAATTTTTGGTTTTCCCCTTCATTAGCTTTAGCTTTTCCCCATTGATTACGTATACGTCGCGTTGGCCCGGCGATAATTAAGGCCTCCGTCTGGCCACCCTTGCCAATGGCCACGAATAATGTTTAATAGTGTTGTCATGTCTTGGGGCTGTGGTTGCGCATACATTAGGCAAAGCCAACCCACCAGCGGCACCGCCACCCTTAACCCGCCACCTTAACCCACTGCCTCTGATGCTGCTGCTGCTGATGCTGCTGCTGCTGTGGACCACAGGCGACCGCGTCTAATTTTATAATACATGTTAAACAGATGAAAGGTTAATTGAAAGGAACCACAAGTTTCGACAGCCCACGCAGCCAATGCTTAGCTTTCAGGGGTAGTAACACCCTCCACGCCACTCAACCCATGCAAAAGCAAGAATAATAGGAGACCGTGGGTTATCCCAGGGGATTTTGGTTAGAGTTAAAAGTTTTCGCTTAAATATAAATCAGCAAATGGCTTGCCGCTTGACTGATTGAAGTCGAGGAAACCCGAGGATAGGGTCCATGAACCCAAAACCAATGCACGGTCACAAATAATTGTATGTAGGTGTAGAACATACCGCGACTTTGTGTAATTACCAATTAAGCTCAAGTCCCCAAAGCTGTCTCATTTTCTTTAGCACTCTCTACTTTCCTTTGTTTCCCTTCTGCCGGCTTGACCTTTTCTTTGTAATTACCTGAACAAGAAATCTGTAAAATCAGGCAAGGCAGCAGATGACAGAGATTAGCTAGCGGTAATTTTACACTTTTTTTACTTTCTAAATTGGAGTAAATGGATTGGAAAGGGTATGAGATGGAGTACCTAGGGATATAGGATAAGAAAATACAAGGCTAAGGGTAAAATTTTAGCTATTTGTATATAAATTAAACAGTTTCGTTTAAATTAATTGATATTGTTGAAAACTTAAATCAATGTGTTAAAACTTGGAAAAGTTTAAGTTTTAAGTTATTGAAATGGTTGTTATTAGGTTTCAAATATTATTGATTATACATTTATTTAACTTGAACTTTATTTGCCCATTTTGAGATCTTTTTCTTAAATGTGTCAAACATATTTTCCTTTGGCTTCACAGTATAATAAGTTCATAGCCCTTTTTGAAGCCCACGCCCCCTTATATCAGCCTAACTTATAGCCATAGGGCATTCGGGGTTTTGCCATGGCCATTTCCCTCGACCACGCCCCTCGACCGCCCCCTCTTATCTTTCGCTAATTTGCATTTCTAACCATTTCGCTCTAGCCAATTCGCGTCATTTCTTATTTGAAACAATGAGCCCAACAGCAGCCCGAACAAATAGCGTAGAAGGAGTCATTGTGCTCCGGCTTTGCAGGCAATAAAAGACTCCGGAGACAAAAGAGAACGTGTCAAGAAACTTGGGCCCGGACGGAGAAAGGAGAAAGAAGGCAAGCCAGAAAAGAAGTTGGCGTAAAGCAGCTTAAACAATCAGGACTGCCTAATGGATATTGACACTTTAATGCCCTGGCCACCGACTCAGGCTTTGATTCTGATTTCGAATCCGCACTGACAAAAAAAAACCGATGATTTATAAAACAACAAAGCAGTCCAATTAAAGACACGAAAAAAATACTATATGTGTATAAATAATTCCACAGACACATTGACCCGAATTCATATTCCTAAGGTCAAAGCATTACCATTATTCATTTTTATCTGTTTAACAATAATTCGAAAATATTAGTGAAATTCAGCAATAAGTCAACAATTATCTTTATGCATACACACATATTTAATGCTTTTAATTTAAAGGTTCATTAAGCTTTATAAATAGTCAGATTCTAGTGAGACATTGATGTTCGTAATAAAATAAAGGAACAACCTTGTTATTTATTGCAAAATAACACCAAATTCGATAAGGAAACATTAAACATGTATTTTTGTTTGTGGCTTTTATAATTAAAGCAAAGTAAAAAAAATATATATTATATGCCAACAAAAATAAATCAGTTAAATGAGTACTTCCCCACTTGAAAAACTGCGATTTTGTAAACTTTACTTTACTTAAATAATTTTTTACATATTTACATTTTGGCAAAATAATAATATAATACGACTTTAGGAAAATGATAAAAAAATAGTATTAATATCAATAAGAAAACAATGCATTAATATTAAATAAAATGTTCTAAATAAGTTAAGCGATGTTTGTATGCAAAATGTAGGACTCAATTGTATCAAACATTTTTGGTTTGTGTAGGGTGCGAATTGGTAAAGGCAGGATCCATCCGTGCAGATGTCCTGGTCTAATTCGGTTCGGTTTTCAGCTTTCCATGGCACATACATTTTTTTTAGCTGGGCCGCATTCTTTGCTTTAAACAAAATTGCAGTGCCGAAATTAATTATAGAGCCGCCGCACCCGGGCCATATTTAATTAAACGTGGACATTTTAAACTCGGAACAACCGAACCACCGAACCACTGAACCACCGAACCATCCAAGAACGTGGAACCAAAAGGCGTAATTAATTAGTAGAGACGTGCCAAATAATTGCGGCAAAAGTAACTTTTTCCTTTTTTGGGGCGACTCCTTTATTATTTCGCTGGTCAAGGAATGTTTCAATTACGTGTATTGCTGATGGGCGATGGGGTTTTCGGGGTGCTTTTTGCAGCAGGACTAAACTTTTCGCCATCGGGCCAGGTGGAAATTAATTAAATTAGCAGGCGTCATTATGGAAAAGTGTCGCGCAAGGACTTGAAATTTATTCGTGCCTTTGCCGGTTTCCTGTCACTCAACACAAACTCAAACCGAAACCCAAACCCTCACCTACACCCACACTCACAAACCCCCCAGAAAATTGCCAAAATGTGCTACGAAAATTCGCATACATAACCTCGACATCCGCTGACTAAAACCGAAAACGTCATTTCCGACAAATTAGTCCAGTCAACTGTGCCACGATATATTGTGCTGTGAAATGTG